CAAGACCAAATTGCGACAACGAGGTCAACCCACTTCTATAAATCGAAAGGAGACTGCGACCATAACAGAGACCACAAGATCCTGGTCTTAATATATACAATTATTTAAAGATGGTGCAGAACAGAACTTTCTAAATCCCGCGGGCCACGGCGGAGTGGATAAAGAGAAGGAAAAGAATGTAACCGATTTATATAGAATGTTAACTAAGATATAAAGACCAGGATAGTGTGGCCCTTTGTATGGTGGCGGTCTCCTTTTGTTGTATATGATTCTCAAGCTGGATAGGTGGCTAACTTGAGGTTAAAGAGTCCGAATAATTCTCATAGTCAAGTTTTTGCTTCATGGACCACGTCTATGATCATGCACGTCTACTGTTAGCTAACTAGCTCGAGTCTCTGCCTCATCCATAGTGCCACGCCTATGACTCCCTATGCCCTAGTCTCTTATGTGTCAACCCATAAATTTTGTGGTATGCTTGTTTTGATTAGGTTCAATGTAGAACCACACCATTTGTCGGTTGGCACACAAGAGGCTAGGACATAGGAAGTCATGGACGTGGCATTATGGAAAGAAGCACGATAGATGAGGCGCGGAGACTCGAGCTAGTTGGCTAACAGTAGATGTGTTTGATCATAGATGTGATCCATGAAGCAAAGGCTTGACTATGAGACTTATTCGGACTCTTTAACCTCAAGTTAGTCACTCATCCAGCTTGAGAATCCTGATTTTTAGGTGCCTACTCAGTGAGGCGGGAGTATGCTTGCCATAAAAGGCCTAGGACAGTATGGGAAATAATGCTTCGAGTAGTATAGATAGGGTGTCAGGGGTCGAATGAAATACCCGAACCATGAAGGTAGAAGGCGGATCCTAAAGGGCAAGAGGGAGAATCTGATAAGACTTATGGGAAGAGGTTTGCGAGGTGAAGTGGTGAGAAGGCCAGCGTGGAGTTTTGAAAGTTCTCATAGAATCCACTAAAAAAGGGCACTCCATGCCCCACATAAATAAGAAATTGTGATAGTTATAAGGTG